AGCCTCACAGCTGTCAAGTAATTTGCGTCTTTCTCAATAATAGGAGGCTGATACTCGGAACAAAGCGCACATTCTCACAAACAAAACGGTTTGTTTTATTTAAGAATCTCGGGCTTTTCCATTGTAGTTTAAAAAAATACAAAGGGTTTTTTTTTCTCTTTTTTCTTTTCTTCTTTTTTGAGAATCATTTACACAGTGTACTACAGTACGGTACAGGACAGTATACAGAAAGATACATAGTCAAACAGACGGCACACGATGACTTGATGGTGGTGCTTTGCATTGACAAAACATTAGGATTATGATAATACAGTGCTGTTTGAATTTTGTGAAGGGCAGCAGTTAAAAACAGGTTATTCTGCATCTAGCAGCCTTATGGCAGAAGAAATAAATGACTCTGAATATCGATCTGTCTTTGTTTGAAGGCTTCAGGTTTTGTCATTCTGACAGCAACAATGTTAACTCTCAAGACAGTCCAGGACCGTGATTAATAATATGTTTTCCCTCCGGCTTAACACGAGTTCAGGTCACAATTGAAACTATATGTACACACACACATACGTATATATATGTACATATATATACGTATATATATGTATATGTATGTATAATTTAACAGAAAATAAACCCCTGCTCTGTGAGAAGCCAAAGGAAATCCATTCACCCAGTTTTACACCTGCTTATTCTTCTTTTTTTTTTGCAGACTTGTAGGCTGAAGCTCTATCATAGCAGATGCAGAGTCGACTCTGGAGACTCTATTAGAGGACTAACAATTAATCATTGAGACTTCTGTTCACATCTACAGTACAGGTAAATCCTCTGCTGAGGCTAAGATTTACGGTACTGTACAGTAACCAGAGGTTTACTCAAATGGTATTTTTTAGTATATTTTTGTTTAATGCCCAACTGCTGCCAAAATGAACATATGTTAAAGTTTGTTGATTGGCCTCTTGCTATAGCTGATGTTTGATTTTTTTGATGTTTGAGTTATTATCCTGCAAACAGTAACAGACACTGAATGCAGTAACAATGACTTTGGCAGCATACTCAAATGCATGTGATGTAGCAGCCTAGCATATGTCACAGTGCACTCTTGTTTGTTTCAAACCTTACATCCAGTTAGGGATTGGAAACATTATCGACTCGTCAGCTTCAACAAAGAGTTTACAGACCAGATTGTTGCTCCTTATGTCTGTGTCACCTCTGTGTACATTTGAATGAGCCGTACTTGCAGAAACATGCTGTTGTCGCATAAGGATAATTTGTTTGGACTATCCACTGTGTGTGGATAGTGCTGTTAAAGCAGAGCAAGAGATTGCCGTTTATCTAACAGACGTAGCACAATTCCCAGTTATAAGAATCTACTCGATGGAAATACAGTGCTGTAATATTGCCTCTTGAATCAGTATCTGGACATGATCAACAGTTTGTTCTGTTTGGAACCTGTCAGGTTAATTAATCCGTTCCTCTCTGTGTCTTCTCTCTTTATCCACCGATGTCATGCATGAGTTGCTAATGGAATCTCCAGCTCGGTCTCGACGTAGCAGCAGGAAAAATGGAGTCATCACAACAGTGATCCAGCAACTGTCTTAGAGGAACAGCGTCACACACACACGTCTTAGTCCAACAGGTTTAATGCTCACCTGGGACGCTGGGCACAAAGGAAACCCCTAATATGCACATACGTAGCTACACCCGCTAATCTCGTTATAATATTAGGTTGTAGAAGACTTTCCTGGACCTGCGTGGACACATGTCTATCCACTTACTACTGAATAAGTAGGCCAGGTGATCATAGAGTTTCCCGGCTTTAAGATGCTTAAGTGGCGCTGTGACATCACATGAGAGGACACCTCATACCAATTCAAAGGATCCCCTTGCTATTTTCGTGGACATACGCGTTGCCTGTCTGAGTGAGTCAACAAAGACGAGACGGAGGCCAAGAAGTGTCTTCTCCTCAGAGAGGGAACTGGAAACCCAGAGCGTAGCCAGGGTTAGACACTTTCCCCCATACATGGCCGTGTCTGCACAAAACTCCTAATCACATGCCAGGAATAGTCATGGACATATGCAGGCTGGAAATTATTAGTGAGAATAGAGAGCAATCAATGCATGGAAGACACACACAGATGTTGATTTTACTCACCGAACATGTGGTCTTTTCCCATGGGGGCAGAAAACCGTTGAAACCGTTTGTAGTATTTGTGTGTGAGAGTGAGTGAGTGTGTGAGTGACAGTTGATAAAAGAGAATAAAAGAGAATAGAACAGCTCTGTAGAGCCACACTACACACTGAGTGCCAGGTAAGAGCCTCTGTATGGACCTGTGGCCTTGTGTGGAGTGGGCCTCATTCTGGTGTGTTGTTTATCAAAGAGCGTTTTACTCACTGTCTCTCTCACACACAAACACACCAAATCCAATCCATTTTTTTATTTTTTTTTTTTCTAAAGCAAATTTAAAACAACAAACTTGCAACAAAATGCCAAAAAAGAACAGGTTTATATACAAATACACACACGAATAACGCGAGATATACAAATAAATAAATAATCATAGGTTAGACACGGAAAAAAAAAACCCAAAAACAATATTACAAGGCAGTGAAATGTTTGAAGGCAGATCACTCTGCTGCTCACAGGACCTCAAAGACCTGGATGGAGGCAGATCCATCTATAAATTCACAGTACAAATTTAAAGGGAATTGAGTAGCCTGCTGGAAGTCACTGAATAATGCACAGAAGAAGAGGGATGGCCCAGAATTTTGCAGTTGCTGTAGATGGGACAGGGATGCCTGGATGACACCAGCATGGACCGCAGTGCAATAAACCAAGGGATTCGCGCAGTATGAATATATATATATATATATATATATACTCAGCAGATTAGCAGCACACTGTAGTGGTCCACAGGCTGTGTAAAGGTGCCGGAGCGAAAGCGTGTTAGGTGGTCCGTCATGTGTCATGTCAGGTCCTCCTTTATGCTAATGTCCTTTTCATCAGTGTCATATGATAATGACTCTCATGGCAGAGAGGCTGCTGCAGCACTCAGACACAGAGTAAAAGCTGTGTGGTCTACTCCACCGCGTGTGTGTGCTCCACTCGTCCCTCTTTGTCATTGTCCGTACATGTCCACACTCACCTGTCTCTGGCTGTCCGCCTCGCTGCCTCCACTTTCCTTTTGTCTGTTCTCCTGTCTTTCATTAAGTCATTGTCAAAAAAAATAAAAATACTGCTTTAAATGTTGTAATAAAGCTAAACCAAAGTATATCTTTTATTCAGACTAGTGGTCTGGTCTGGTATTTATGGGGGTCTAAACTGGAGCCTGTCATGGGTGACTTTATACATTGTTAAATGCATGAATATATTAAAATATATTATAATTATTATAATATTATACATTTTATAAAATTTTATATATATAAATAAATTATTATAATTATAATAATATATTATAATCAATTGTTCAGTCCCTTTCCAAACCAACAGAATATACTTTATAGCCATTATTCAAATGAAGCATTATTTCATGTATGTATAAGTTGTTTTTTTTTTAACATTTTTTAAGTGATCATGTGAAAATACTGGCGATCATCACATGCTGGTGTTTGTCCTGACTGAGGTAAAGGCCTGGTTCTTAAGGAATATGAAGGGTGGAGAGGAAGTGAGGTCTCAGTCTGGGGGGGGGTATGAGGGGATAGCACATGGCCCTGGGGAATTTGAAGGATGTACAATGCAAGGAGTGTGTGTGTGTGTATGTGTGTGTGTGTTGTCTGCCTGAGGTGAACTAGAGGATGTTGACACTGATGTGTTCTGATGTACTCGCGCACAGACACAGGCCCTGCCCGTGACTCACAGACGAGATGTGTATTCCCTATGGGACAGCCCTGGGAACAGACAGACAGACACACACACACACACACACACACACACACACTTGCCAGGTTAGATATTTGCCAAAGCAACTCACGGATCATGTTTTAACAGAAGAAAGGGATTTGGTCTGGAAGGAAAAATTGGATCACTTGGACGTTTGACTGCAGACTGAATCAGTGGTTAAAGAATCCCATTGTGTGTGTGTGTGTGTGTGTGTGAATATGGCAGAGTTTTACATAAATGGCTGTGTGAAATTAGGTTGGGATTTTACGAGGTTTCTCACTCACCTTTGACTGCAGCCTCACATGCGTAGCCACAATGTTCTGTTCTTTCGCTGCCTGTCACTGGTACAGTCCGGTCATGAATAGTCCTCATTGAGCGCCTGTGTGGGCTGATGGGAGGTTTTTTTGTCTCTCGGACTGAGCGGACTTCTTTCACAAAAACCAACTGCAGAAATTTCGGATAGCAGCTGGGGGTGTTGACTTAATAGCTCTGGATCATGCGGGTGGATAAGGAGAAGAAAAAGTCCATGAATTTTTTTTTTTTTTTTTTGCTCTGAGCCATTGACTTTGCCCCGCTCCGTCCCTGCCTCCCTGTGCATAATTAAACAGTAAAAGGCTTAGATTAGCCATGGTTTAAATCTGCATTGTGTGCGTAGATTAAGATACAGTTAAAAAAGAAATACTGATACAAAAAGAGCCAAAGGGTAAATTTGAGCTGTGTGTGACGCCAAGCGTATGCTTGTTATAACAGCGCTGGAAGCCTCAGAGTGACAGACAGTGAACATGTGTGCACACTAATTCACATACTGAGTGTGTAGGCAATGGTGGATGATCAATTGTTCAATATAAAATTAAAGTGTATGGCACAAAGAACTGTTTGTAAAAAGCAGAGCCTGATGCCAGCACAGTAAACTCAGTTCCCCGTATTTTCCTATGGGTCAGTGTCTGTGTGATATGTAGGCACTTTGAGAACATAAAACAAGTATGATAAAGGAATATTTGTTCAGGGTTAAAGAAAAGAAAAAACAGGAAAATGTACAAACTGTGATCCTTGGGCAAAATGTTCTAAATGCAATTGTGAATTTATAACAGAGCAATTGAGAAATATTCTTCCACTGTCTTCACAGGTTTCCAGTGAGCTGCCAACCATTCATGGCTGAATACATCTTTTGTCCCCTGCGGGCAAATGTAGGTGAGTTGTGGGAACTGGTGACTGAGGGATTCTTTCCAAAGCATTCTGAGCACGAAGATTTTGATTTAATGACCGTTTCCTCTGAGTAAAAGAAAAAAACCCAGAAACAAAGTGGAAAAAAAACACTTATTTTTTTTCCCTCAATTCTGCTGCAATTTTCCTGGAGCAGGACATGGGAATGAACTAAAGACATAAACAAGGTACAGAAAAAGTCTAAAAAAAAAATAAATAAAAGCTAAAATACATTTTTTTACTCAAGCAGAGTAACTTATCTCTAGAAAATCATTAACAGATGTGGTCGTTTTACAGCCGCTGTATTTGAACCTGTCTTTGTTGTTGTATAGTATATGTTAAAAATTCACTTTATGCTTAAAAACTCTGGATATTGTAGGCCTATTACTACCAAAATTTAACTGAATGGTTTCTGAAAACAACTGAAGAAAAAACATTCATTTCATTAAACCAAGACAATGAATTCTACCCTGTGACAATCACTGACATTAGCTTTGAAGAACATCAGGCTAGTTGAAATGATGTACATTTTAAAAACCTGAACAAATGTAGATGTAACAAATTAGTTATATCATAATAAGTTGGAACGTTTTTCAATGTATGATTTTTGTTACAAAACCTGGTGAAATGTCAGTTCAAATTTCAGCACGCAGCTGCTGGAGGTGTACAGCTCCGGTCACCGCAGCTAATGATTGGTGGGTTGAACTGTGGCTCGGGCTCAGCAGAGCTGGATTGATCAGGCTGAGCATTACAAACATGTTCATTGAATCTCCTGCAGGAGACACAGATAATTCATGTTTGTGAACAATGGGTGAAAATGGTTCCCTATTGTGAACCAGAACTCTCTCTAATTCATTTACAATCTCTTACAACACTGTGGTTTCTCTGAAGCTCTCAAAACTATACTGTTATACAGTACAGTATGGATACGGTTACATAACATGACTATTCCAGAGAAGAGCTGAGTCATTGATCTGAAAGACTCCTTGAGAAAATATAATTATATAATTAAAACTTTAACCTCGATCCTGATTGTTTTAGGGTTGGGGTGAATCGTCTTTTTAGTCAAAGTCAGTTGGGGTTTAACTGTGTTAATGGGACATGATGATTCACGTTTTGCCATTCGCGTAATTTCTGAAACATTCCTGTATTTTGTGAATCAGTGTCTTTTTGCAGCCACATTACTTCATGGGTGTGAAGTGTGAAGTGTTGGTTTTTTTGTTTTATTGCACGTGACGTGGAACCGCTGTTAGGTAAATGTCTGCACCCGTGGTTTATAGTGGGGGATAAACCTGACCACTTTGGTATCCCAGGAATCCACAACATCATCACATCCTGGCCTGATAACTGTGGAACAGCCTGATTCCTATCACTAGTGATGTTGAAACTGTCTGTGTATTTGGACACGAGACATGTTGTCTTTTTATACCATAATAGGCCTCTCTCAATAACTGCCCCATAATTCTACACTCCAGAGTAGTTACAGCTGGCGCTGGCCTCAAAAGGAATAGGGAGGAGGTGAGATAGGAGCTGTTATTGTCACTGCTCACACACACACACACACACACATAGAAACGTGCGCAGACACTCACGAGGAGTACTGTAATTCACTCTTTATTTCAGACATCAAGGTTTCCGGAAGGAATTCCAGGCATCCAGGGAACTATCTTCCTGATTCCTAAAGGCTTAGCATGTTGCTCGTCCTGTCTAGATCCTCAGCCAAGAAACACACTCTCTCACTCAGTCCCAAAAGTTCAGATATCTTCTGGGCCGGTTGGGTTTACATCATGACTAAGCATCAGAGAATGCTGTTGTAATCCTCGCTGCTTCAAACCGACAGTGATGTATTTTCCTGACGATGCTGACGTGGCAAAGACACACATGGACTGTGCACATACAGCAAAAAACACCAGTTTGAATACTTGGCCTAAGGTCTTAAAGTTAAGAATCACATACATCACATACATCAACTGGCGGCCCGTGGGCTGAATCTGGCCTGCCAAACCATCCTGTCCAGCCCCCAAGATAAAAGTCCGGAAAGAGTCTGGGCCTCTGACAAATTGTTGGTGACCCCTGGCCTAGACTCTCAGAAAGCATTTTATTTATGCAGCGTTGGTGGTTTTTTTTTTTTAAATGACAGTGTTTTTCTGTAATTCTTAGCTTCATTGTTTATACATTTTGACCGGAGAGTGAAGTTTCTATAGATGTCAGTGATCGCAGGATTGTGCAATAACTCAATGCAGAATGATTAAAGCTGGTTAATTTAGCCTTTGTCACGTCCTTCTGTGTGTTGCAGCTGTCAAATCATAAATTATCTTTTCATAACATATAGACAAACAGTCATTAGGTTGGACGGGGAAAGCAGTGGAAGTGTCTTCTTTGTTCTCTGAGATGATTGGCCAGGACAACAGAGTTTGGAGGTTGGAGCGTGTAAATATAACCACAGATATTTCATGCTCATCACCAATCTCCACTTCCTCGTTCACTTCACTTTGAGGACTCCTACTCCACGGTGAATGATGAGTGAGCGAGTGCTTCAAGAGTGTGTGTGTGAGTGTGTAGATGGTGAAGTACTGTGTCCATGAGAGTCTCTTCTTCCCCCCACTCACCAGGCGCAGAGGAGTGGGCTGCTGTGGAATTGAGAACCCTCAGCCTCCTTCACTACAGTGTGAGAGAGCCACGGGGTCCGCGCTAAGTGCTACTGGGCACTATTACTGTAAAAAGGCCCACTCTCTAGGGTGTCCTTTCAAATGTCTGCTAAACGGGACTCTACTGACAGTCATGGTCGATTAGTGTGTGTGTGTGTGTGTGTGTGGGCCAGTACATTATCCCTTGTATAATGTGCTGCTGAGAAGGTTGGTGAAGCTGAAACCAGATCAGGTATGTGTGACAGCTACCGCGTGAGTGTGCATTTATAGAGCAGTGCATGTGTGTGTGCCAGGTTACAGTATTAATAGGCAGCTGTGTATTTGTACAGGCCACTAATAACCACATGGCTGATGTTGGTGGATTGATTTCCATCACACTCTGTGACGTAGAAGCGCCTGATGCTGCAGGTGTCTCCCCAAATATCCAGGTCGTTCTCTGCTTCATCAGCAGCGTCTCAGGGTGAACCT